ACAATCAAACATCGGGAATTTACCAAAACGGTGACTTGAAAATGTGTACATTTTTTTAAAAATCAATAACAAATCAGTTGACGACGTCATCCTGACGTTATCCCCTTGAAATATTATTGTATCATGATCTTTGCTATCGATCCAACATGGCGAAGTTACCATACTGGTGGCTTAAAAACGTACAATGTCAATGGCCTAAAAACACATGCAGAAAAACTGCTCCTTCAAGTTGATGTAACGTTATTTGCGTTTACACTGAAAGATTTTCATATTATTTAATATTATTTGATATTTTGACTCTTGGGGATATTTGTAATCGAATGAAAAGGACAGTAGAATGATTTCTTTTCGTTCTGTTAATAACTCTTGGTCAAAATTAATAGCGTGTAGTAAAAAGTGTACAAACCCTAAGGCAGAAAATTAAATATTCAGTATTCAACAATGAATCACGCAATAACGTCAACATCACAATTTATTCTTAATTTAAGGTGATTATAGTGAATTGGATTCAGACCACGAGACACGACGAGAGGATCGGGGAAACGGACGGAGCGATAAGACGAGTAGATGACGTTTTGGGGGCTGACCATGAGAAAAATTCCGGCTACGACTCCTGGCGTGGGGGATTAGGATCCAGCAGAGGTCAAATTTAAAGTCGAGATTAAGGTCGGGAGGCAGACGGCCCAACAGGTCGTGGAGAAAGTTGAGCGCGGGTAGGATGGCAGGACAGAGGACGAAGAGGTGAATGAGGGTCCTTCCTCTCCGCACCATCTGTAACAGGGGGAGATGTCAGAATTCAGTTGATAGAGAACCGGAAGAGAGGGATGAGCGTTGTGAAGAAGTCGGAACTGGAATTCTCCTTTTTTGATGTGGGAGGTTTGTTTATCTGGGTCCAGGGGATGGAGCAGTGAGGGTCCTTGAAAAAGCCGATTCGGTGCCAGTAAGTTTGAGTAAAGGCGGGGTGAGAGTTGACAAAATGGTTTTAAGGTGTCGTAAAGGGTCTTGGAAGAGAGTGAGAGTCCGTCCAGATCGGGACGGATTCTCGAAGGGGAAGACGAAGATCTGCTTCCAGCCAGCGTCCGGTGGAGGGGTGCAGAAGGTGACAAGAGCCGCAGGACAAGAGCCGCCAAACAGAATTCTCATCGTCAGCCGATTGAGCCAAGATGATGCTATTAATCTGACGGTTAATAACCTGGCTGATTGAATCGGGAGGCACTTCAGTTCGAGCTCCGAATGCCGTCCAAGCGCGCAAGAGCTCGCTGTGGAATCGAGGGACGCGAACAGAAAATTTGGGATCAAGGACGATGTGGAAGAGGTACAGGTCTACATAGATATTTTTGACGTTGTAAAAAGCAATTGATCATGGCATAGGCTGGATGAGGACAGACGTCCAGAAAGCGCTGAATAGTAGACATTATGCAGGCGAGCTAGCTTGCTTGAAGGTAGGCAAGACCGTGTCCGCCCCTATCAGGTCATTCGTAAACTTGCGAAAAAGACCAAAAACCTCTTAGCATTAAGGATGCTATTTTAGCAGTTTCTACTACTTGAAGTACCAAATAAGAGTATTAAATGAAGAAAGATGACTCTTGACCCTCCCCATCTCCGTAAGTGTACACTTCTTTTACTTACGATTTCCTGTGGTATGGTCTGCATTGGGTCCAGTGCCGCCACTGTAGGTTGGGCCACTATTTAGGAGCCAGTCAAAGTCATCGTTTCGGTTGTTTTTGTACCCACAGAGGGTGTTGGAATCAAAGTCACAACTCAGATCTGAGAACTTGAGACCCGAGTCTGAGGACGAATGAATAGCAAAGCTTTCTTAGAGCCGATTGCAAAGGCTAAACCTAGCTTAGGAATGGTTCAGGTGTTTACATACCCCTGACTTCCGTTTTCCACTGCAAGACCATTTGACATTGGTTCTCAAAAATAATCCAAATGGTATTAGATTACAGATGAAAAACTGTGAATTCATCATTGATGTCGACAAATCAAAGTAGCCTGTTTGATACAATCGATGGCATATAATAGGCATTTCCTCATCTTTATGCAAATTACA